TCTCTCTCTCTCTCTCTCTCTCTCTCTCTCTCTCTCTCTCTCTCTCTCTCGAGAACAGTTGAGAGCCTACCCCTACTACTACGACTTCAAAACCTTTTATTAGTGTTTTTACCTCTTTTTGAGGACTAGAAAAGTGACGAAAAGTGAAAACTAGTGCTCAAGAACTTGTGACATTGGTGGCAACCTGCGGGATGGCTGGCCGTGGGTAAAATACTGTTTTTTCTCGTGCGCCTACGCCTCCCGCCATGGCGTCCGGCCCAGGGTTCCCACCTAACCTCAACCGAAGCAGCTCTACAACCAATCTATCAAACCACACCAATTCTGTGGACTACTGCAGCTCCTACGACCTCAACCGACCACTAAGCTACGCAGAAGTCACCATTTCCAAGCATGATGAAGTTCAAGAAAAACCACCACCACTCCAATTGACCCCTAACCTCAATTGGAGCCAAACTTCCAACAACAAAAACAACAAGAATAACAAGACTATGATGACTCAGCAGAATCCACATCAACAAATGCAAGGCGCCGCCTCGAGCAGAGAGGAGGACCCAGCAGACGAAAACGACAACAACAACTCTAACCCTCTACTCGACCAAGCACCTTCAAGAAAAATGTCTGTAGTACTCGAAAACACACAAGAATTTACTCAAGACGATTTGCTCCGTGCTGTAGCAGACCAAGTTGGCGGCCAAAACATTCGCTACTGTTCAAGACTGAGTGGAAGCCGTTTCTGTGTGTACCTTACCAATCAAACTACTGCTACTGCCCTGTGCCAACACGGAGGTTTACTCATCAACAACACCTTCATTCCATGTCGGATGTACGTTTCCCAAGCTACAAAAGTTCTAGTATCAAACTGTCCGCCAGAAATGCCCGACGAAGACCTCCAAAAACTTCTAGAACCATATGGCAAAATAGTGTCAACAACAACCAGGTTAAGTGTCTCAACCAAACATGAAGATCTAAAACACGTAAAAACCTGGAAAAGGTCGCTGTACATCGAACTCTCCAAAACATCGCCGTGCCCAGAAATAATGCACGTCACCAGCCCAGAGGGACACAAGCACACACTCTACATTCAAACAAACCTGAAAGTGTGCACTTTTTGCAGGAGCACAACACACCCTGTCGAAGAATGCAAAGTGAAACAAAAAACAAGCGAAGACTTCCCATCCCTGAACTACACACCATCTCCATCTCTACGCCTCTCCAACCTCAAAACAAGAAACCAACCGAAATCATCTGATGTGCAGCCACGAAGAAACCCACCCTCACCAGACATCCGAAAAGAAAAACCAGCCCCAGAAGACCCACCAGTGAACCTAACCTCAAAACCCAGCCGATCGTCGCCTGGAACCGCTGCCGCTGCCGTGGTCGCCACCACCGCCGCCGCCGCAACCTCCCAGCCCCGCTCCACCCCAGCTGTGACTGTTCCCCTCCCCCTCCCTCCCTCCCTCAGTGTGCCCCTTGAACCTCATTCAAATGATTCAAATGCTCACCCCAAGAAAAGACTTCTCTCACCACAATCACCTGAAGTGTTATCAAAAGTCCTGAGACAAACTACATCTCTCTCTCCCGAATCACCCTTATCATCAGAATCATCCAAACCCCCAATACAATTAGCACAAGACACCAAGGTGGTACTAGAACAAATGAAAGCAAAGGAACAAGAATGTGATGAACTTGAAATAATTATTTGTTCAATGTCTTTTGATCAAACTAAATTAGATGAACAATTATTTGCTGACATTATTTGTCATTGCAAGAGGGATAGTAACATAAGAAGAGCAGTCTACACATTCACAAATGTTTACCGACGAAATGTAGATGTGCCAGAGCTCTTAACAAAACTAAATGAATTGTATCTTTTGTGCCCAAACAATAATTTCCTTAAAAAAATTATGACAAGTGCCTCACGTAATTTTAGTTAGCCAGTATTATTAACAACAATTCAATTTACCTTGTAATACAAAAAAAAACAAAAAAAACAACCTCTCTCCCTCACAAAAAAACAAATCTGTATTTTTTCTAATTTTATTCAGTGCTGTATTAAACATTATACTTTAGACGCAAACAAGCAGCACTGCATGCTCGCTGCTTTGACAGCTACTTGTGACAAAAAGACTCAACCCCTTTTTCGGCCCATTTTGTACGAAATCCCCCCAATAAATCATTTGCTAAACTAAACTCTCTCTCTCTCTCTCTCTCTCTCTCTCTCTCCTGGCCCCCCCTCCCTCCTCCGGTGAAGCCCGGCCCCGGTGGCTCGCGCGCGTGCCACAGAGAAGGAGGGGAGGTTGGCTTCCGTCACGTGTCACCCCTTTCCCTTCCCCCTCCCCTGCCTCCCCGTGCCCTCTCCTCCCCCGCTGCTCGCCGAACGGTGGCGGGGCAAGCGTCACGTGTCTTCGCGCACGCTACACACCGTGATTGTCTGGGGCGTTGTTGTTGTTGTTTCTTTTCGCGGGGATTCACTGTGTGTGCGTGTGTGTGTGGGCGGTGTCCAAGCAAGCAGAGACGGTCGCGTCACGGGCGCCGCCAGTGGTCCCAGAGGGGCTCTTGTACCGCCGCGCCCCGCCACGCCACTTCCCGATAAGAACCCACTCACTTTCTCTCTCTCTCTCTCTCTCTCTTCGGTGCCACAGCAGCGCTTCCTTTCCCCCACGACTATGGGCGCCGTATAGTGTTGCTTGTGGCGACGAAATTGGTCCATTTTGCACCCATCGGTCGTGTGCGCTCGCTTGCTGTAGTCGAACCAACATCAACAAAAAATATATAAACGTCCCTGGCCACACGACCAAGAAGAGAGGAGAGAGAGAGGGGGGGTGGGAGGGGCAGGGGGAAAGGATCGGCGCGGAGAGAAAAAAGAAAAGGAGAAAAAAACGCCTGCCACTTTTTGGAACGGCTGTTTTTGTTGTTTTTATTACGATGATGACAATAATAAAAATAAAAACCCATAAGAAGGACGTCAACTCGTGTGTGCCGGCCGCGCGGCCGTTCCGCCAACTTAGCCGCATATGGGCCCGCTGTTTGTGCCGGCCACTTACTGCCCAAGGCCGCCATCAGGTGGAAGCAGGAAAAACCACGGAAGGGGAAGAAGAGGAAAAGAAAACAAGGCACATACACAACAAAAAACAACAACACACACACAAGTCAAGAAATGAATTGAAAGAAACTGCGAATAGAGCAAAGAGAGCACTCGCCGCCGCGTGTATACGTACTTTTGCTTTTACTCTTCCTGCCTTTTTTCCTTGCGAGACTGCAGGAAGGCCAACACAAGCATGACAACCTCGCTCCGCGCACATTCACTCGCGGCGGACGCGGCGCGCAGGGAAAGGCAGACAGACAAGACGGACGGACACAGAGTCGGATTCAGGTTGCGCGTGCCGCGGTGTAATAGCCAGCAGCAGATCGACGAGAGCCTCCTTTCCTCCCTCCTCACCCTCCCTACTCCCC